TTCCTCCTGAGAAAATATAAAATTGATTTACTCTGGTGGAATAGCAATGTGCATTGGTTTCATAAGTTGTGAATCRGAGTGTAATATCCCATGTGTAGTGGGTGTGCTACACCAAAAAGACAAACAAAAAACGTGCAAAATAAGGACTAAATAAAGTTTGACAGTACTTCACAGGTAAGTGAAAACCACACTAGAGTACAAACATTTTTTCACTGGATAACTTTAAAGCTGCTCTTAAAACCTTCTTATTCAAACAAACTTATGATCTGCAACTGTTTTGTAACTTTTTATTTTAATTTTTTACCTTTTTATTTGCGTTTTGAAAATGTTATTTAAGCGCTTTATACACTTAGATTATTATCATTATTAACACTAAAAGAGTGCAACACTTTCCACTATTTACTATAAAATAGTACTAATCAAACAAACAATAGAATTAGCATAATTTAGCAGTATTTAGTGGTATTTATATGTGTTGCACAGTTTTAGTGTTTGTACTCTATTCTAGACATTTATATAAAATAAAATATAAATAAATAATATGTGGTTTTGTAAAAGAAAACACACCTTTTCCTCTGGCTCTTCATTTTCCTCTTCCTGTCATCAAAATAACATGACATAATAATATGTTACTTCCTGATAATGTTCATTATTTTATTCATAGTTCATTGGTGTCTGAATCTCCTAATTTTCACATCTCAAAGTTCTGGAATCAATCCTTTCAGACTGAGATGTTTTTCCTTGATCAAATGCATTATTTTGTAAAAAATGTTTTAGGTATAATTGATGACGATAAGTAGTCTTCTTTAATACCTCATTTTCTGCTTCCGGTTCTTCAGCCTTGTCCTCAGATTCTTCTTCTTTCTGTAAAATAACGAACTTTAAGGTAAACACTACTGAAAACAAGCTAAGTTTTATTAGAATTTCTTGTTTTCACTCTATTGACATAAACAAATCTGATTGGAACAACTAAAGCTGTTTTGTTTTTACCTTTGCATCTTCCTCCTGTGTGTCCTCAGTTGGTTCATCAGTTTTCTTTTTTGATGCATCACTCTGTTGATATAAAGTCACAAATATGTCAATAAATAGGATAACATAGTTAGCAATTGTCATAATTAGCAGAAAAGATTGTGAAGATCAGTCAAGAAATAAAAACTTTTTTAAACTGATTATGTCATACACTCTCCTTACACCCCTCCTTAATTAGACTCAATCAACTTTGCTTGTAATTACCATACATCTTARTATAAAACAGTCTTTCAGGTATTCAATAGGATTACAAGAAAATGGGAATAACTATGAGAAAATTTTCTATGACAAACCTTTCCTCCAGGAAAGCAGCAAGCGGCAATAAGGACAAAWGGAAGGATAATAACAATAACAAACAGGACCCAGAGCCATGGCCGTTCATTTGTTGCTTCCAGTAAACCACTAAGAACACCACCCTGTTAATGCAAAATTATAACATTACCGGTATATTCCAACGTACATGTATACAGTCAATTGAAGAAATTGGCCACTAAATCAGTATACATGTATAGGGTTGTTGATACTTCGAAATGTAAGCCCTTAACTTGTTATAAACTACAGATTTATGCTTGAAAGTCCTTTTAAATAAACATAATTTCAATGTTTTCATGATTTGTGATCTGTTTTAGCAAGAAAAGAGGAAATCACATTACCCACGATGCACCCTACATAATGATATGAATTAGCTATCAGAATTTTAACAAATGGCTGTATAGTATTCATAAGTGCATGGAATCATGCAAAGAACTCAGTGAGATGCGAATTGACATTTATAACAAATAGTACATGTACAGAAAATGTGCATTGTCTTGCAATCATGCAAGGCCATGTAAATATAATACTTTGTTGTAAGTATAGCTATAGTTATAGCAAAACCCCACCTCTTCTCCACTACCATAAGTTTCCTTGACATTCTTTTTAACCCAGCTGAAGAAGAAATAGTTCCTTTTTTAGGTCAAGTTACTTCTAACACAAACCACAACTTGGTGCACACATCTGTATTATGCATAAGTCAAACCCAAAGGTCAACTAGTCAATTTGAGATTGAATTTGATACTTATTGAAGAACCCTAAAAACATGGATTCAAATGTTGTGCACAGCTTTACCTCTCTTTAGCCCATTTATCAGCAACACTTTTATCATCAGTAATAATTAAATTGTCAAAGAAAATATCTGGTGTCATTGACCACAGCTCAAATCCAAGACCAACCTGAAATACAAGCAATTATCCATCAGTCCTGACTACCTTAGTACCATCTGCCATTGAAAGCATACATTATAATGAATTATAGACTATATTGTGTGTGAAAACTATGAGGTACATGTACATGTAATGTGGGCAAATAAGGCCTGCTAACTTACAATTGAAGTCATCTTAAAAGGTTCTAAATCTTCAAAGAAATTGGGGTTGGGGATCATCCTTGGTTTCCAAATACCCTGTAAAGCACATCAAACGCAATGTTATTAACTAATTATTTACATCATTATCAATTATATTGTAATCATACATTTATACACAATTTTGGCATCCACATTCACATCCAGTGAGATGTCCAGCAATGAGAAAGTACATGTATATGAATGGTGTTTGTATGTGAGCTAAAAAAGCTAAAAAAATATTTGGTCCAGTACCATATGTAATTATCATACATGGATGACATAATTTGGTCTTATGCACACTCTAACTGGTCAGTGCCACTGTGCACCCTCAGTCGTTTCACTCAATTACACACTCAGAAAAAGAGAGTTCAGAGTTCATTTTTCATGTCATACTCTAATATATGTGTATACACAATGTCAAATTTGACAAGACAAATGTTCACCAATTAGCTTCATCTTATGGCATACCTTTTTGTTCTAACTCATACCATTTTAAGATTACCCAATGGAATCTATTTGTTAATGCTAGATATAATACATTTTTACTTGTAATACAATATATACAATACCTTATAGTCAGGGTTACTAATCAAAGGTGCAGACCATTTCCCTTTGAAGTTTGGATTGTCAACCATTGGAGGCTTCCACTCTCCACATCCAACTTTTTCACATTTTGGGTTAGCTATAGAAAATAASACACACTTCTCTTTATTATGAACCAAATAAAATGACATACAAATGTAGTATTTTAAATTTTKGGGACTTTTTTCACTTTTGGGGGACTTTTTTGAGTWGCTGGCAATGGATTTAAGAAGTACTCTGGGAGTTTTGTGGGGTTTTCCTGTTTTCAAGAGCTTTTTAAGTGCTCTTGAATTGAGTTTTCAATTTCAGGGCTTTTCAAGGATTTCAAGGATTATAACAAAACCCTGGTGTTGAGGGGTTTTCTTATCTTATGTTTCTCAGCCTTGAGCTGCTATCTTAATTATGATTTTGAACACTCCAGTACTTGAGTGTTTTTACTTACCAATTTGTGGGGCTTCCCATTCACCGTCTTCTTCATTATCCCAATCATCAGGTTTGACTCCATTAGGATCAGCGATGTATTCTGGTTCATCATCAAGCCATCCTTCAGGTTTCTATTACAAAATAAGATTCAATGAAAATAGTACATCAAGTCCTCACCAAAACAACTCAAAATTAAAACAACTACAGTTACTGATTAGTTGTTATGAAGAAGATTTTTGTTTGGTATTTATTTTATAATGTAATTTGAAGAGCAAGTGTGGCAATGAGCTTGACTTTTCCTAAACTGAAATCTAGTTCAATTTCCATACTGTGTTTTTCTGCAGTTCTATAGGGTTTTCCTCCTTTTAAAAATCAGWAGTGTGGAATGCCACAAGCCCATGAGTATTTTTTTAACTACCATCTCTTATGACAACATCTAGTATAACATCTAGTATATATAACATCTAGTATGTGTCCAGTATGATCTTCCATCCTTTACTGAATAATATTCAACTCACCTTAGCATTAGCATCAGGGATCTTTTGAGGAGCATCTTCATCCCAATCATCAGGTTTCTCAGCATCAGGATCAGGTATCTTTTCCCTYTCATCCCAATCCTCAGGTTTTTTGTCATCAGGATCTTCGATCTCTTTTGGTGGGTTCACAGGTGGAGTCATGTCTTCCAGTAGGCTTCCTTTGCTCACACTCTCTTGGTCAACAAGCACTTCAAATGTGTTATCTGGCTTGACAACAAGTGTGAATAGATGTGTCTTCTTGCCGTCGAACACTCCTTGAAAGTTACCTGTGGGTTTCTTGGCATGTTTTTCTTCAAATGTTCCATTTATAGGATTTTTGTGTTGGAAAATAAAATGAAGCTAAAAAAAGATCAAATGTCAATCAGTGTAATCCAATGTTTGTAATCATATATACATGTACATTTGAGAAGTTAGAGTATCCTCTATGCGCATGACATTCTGTTTGATTTAACTTGAATATTGAGTAATTTTACCTTGCGATCCTCTCCACACTTGTCAGGTCCAAACATAATAGTGTAGCGGCTCTTGTCTGTAAAAGTTTCCTATGAAAGAACATAATTTATATCAATTATACTCTGGCCAATGATCATTACTGCTTTTGGGACAAAATATAATAGCCACAATACTGGAAAACATTTAGTATATCATTCTTCACAAATGCAATTATCAACATTTTTTATTTTTCTTTAAAACATAAGATTCTGGCTGTTGCATTAAATAATACAACAGACATTGCAGAAAATATTAGAGCAAATTCTTAAGTAAGCCCATAGCTATTGTTACTCATTATTAAATGTATGCTCTTGAAAAGTTGGTACAATTTAAGAAAGAAGTTTAATTTCTGTTATAGGCATGAATTATATGCATGTAGCACAAAGCTGAAACACTAGGAATTGCTTACTGGAGAAAACCCTTCACCATCGGCAATAAGCTTGAGATATGCACCTCCACACTCCATAGCCTGCTGAAACTTGACTTCATATCTATTATAAATACAAACAATTTAATGTTAATAAGTTACCAATATCACAAAATCACAGTTTATATAAATTACAAATGAATGGGTTAGAGTAGAAACATTAAATGTGTTCAACACTTTCCACTATTTACTACAAAATAGTGTTAATTAAACAATAGAAAACAATAGAATTAGCATAATTTACCAGTATTAAGTGGTATTTATGTTGCACAGTTTTAGTGTTTGTACTCTATGGCTTTMATTTAGTCTACTGGTAGTTATTAAATAGCCATTCAGCATATGGGCGATTATTGCAAGGTAAATTATTTTGCATTCAAGTTAATACTTACTGTACAATCAAAGGTTTGTTTTCAAACTTAAAAGGCCTATCAAGTTTAGTAGATATGGCGTGGTGTCTTGCYCTAGACTTAAAGTTAAAAAAAATAACATTAATATCATGACATAAAATAAATCATTACAAAACCTTTCACAAAGTCACATGATGGGTCAGAAAACCATAAAATCAAGCTGTGACTAGTGATAGTAGAATAAAACATCAATCCTTAGTATCAACTTAAAACTTTAAGATTCTCATTACCAGCCATACAGCTGTATATTTGCAAAGGATTTATAGCTAGTTTTCAGTTGCTATCACTGCTCTCATTGTCACTTTGGTTTGGGTTTGTTTAGGAGTGGGAAGGGATGTTTGTTCCAGTAAACAGTAATCCCCCGGTAATCCACAGAGACAATGCAGAGACACAAGCATACATGACAGACACAGCTGTATCCAATAAAAACATTTACAGATACAAAATCACTGGATGTGTAATATGGACCTGKCCTTAACAAACATCCAAGTACAACAAAAAGTAGATATGTTAAAGGAAAAAAACAAGTAATATGGAAAGAATGATGATGAAATATCTTCAAAGATGATTAGATGATCAGTGCGTAATTGAAAACAATTTCTTGGTCTAAGACCAAGCAAAGTCAAATCCAAAACTAATAAATCAGTTTCAAGATCTTTATCTAAATGTCAGTTTCTTTAACAATTTTTATAATTCATAACTTTAACTTACCTTAAGAACAAGACCTAAGTCACCTTTGAAAAGTTTGGTAGAAGGCTCTTCAAAACCAAAAACCCCTACAAAATGCAATAGAAATGAACTATTAGAGTAAAACTGTTTGAATCCACCACACAATGTCAGGACATCCATAATAAACTGGTAAAATTAATAAATAAATAATAAAAAATAAATAATACCAAATKTCTAAATAAAATAGTTAAAGCTAACAACTAATTCAAGTTTATTATTATGTACAAGGATGAAAATATATAGATAGTGTTATGAAATTAAAAACGTTTTCGACTATGAGTCACCTTCAATTCAAGTTTACAATTTTAACTCACCATAAATCACCAAAAATTGCATTATAAACTACATGTATCAACCAACTTATAATCTCATTTCTATAGACTAATTTATCTACTAAAATACCTGACTTATCAACTAATAAACACAGCAATCTATCCATCAACATTTACCATCATATTTTGCAATAACTTCATCCACACCATCTTTCTTGGCTTTAGAGTTCACCCATCTAAAATAAAAAAATGAACGATCATTTATGCATATATAATAAGGATATTCAAGTATGCTGAAATACATCCACTTCAAAACCAACTCTCACTAAAACAYATTAAGCATATCAAGCATCAATTAATTAGCTGTGTTCGCACCCCATCGTGCCCCGTCAGGTTGAGGGTTCCATTTTTCCCCTGGCCAAGAGACTTAAGGCCGTGTCATACTAGCATTTTTTCATGCAACTTGTGTCGCACAAAAAAATATTGTAAGTTATACAATGCCATGTCACACTAGCAAATTTTGTTGCAACTTAGCTCACACAAAGAAAATGTTCAAGTTGCACATGTAAATTGAAAATGTGCGATTATTTTCTTCTTCAAAATTATCGCTTTCTATATAACTAATACCGACGTCGGCCATCTTTGTTGATTATTGCAACAAGTGACGCTTTCTTATTGGTTCGTGCGCCTAATTGGAAATTTTGGTAGTTGCAAGAGACCATGTCACATGCGGTTTTTCCAAAAAAATGTTGAAAAAAGTAGAAGCCAGTTCTACTTTTCTCTCAACAAAAAAATGAAATGTTCAAGTTGCACGAGGGGGTGTCACACGTAAAAAATGCTCGTGCAGCTTACAAAATTTTTTGCACGACACAAGTTGCATGAAAAAAACAAACGCTAGTGTGACAAGGCCTTTAAGTTCTATTGAACCAAAAGCCATTTACTCTAAAAATGCCACAAACCTAGCTATCTCAAGCAAACATGATAAAACTGAAATTTATCAGCCACACCGCCACTCAGGCAACTTTCTAATCACACTTCTTGTCCCTTTGAGCAAAACAAAAACAGCCCCCATTAAAAAAGGGACCAAATAGCTTGAAATACACACAGGAAGCCAACCACTAGATGCTTGAAGTTGGCTTACAGGGACTAGAAGACAGCTAGGCAAGGGTTCACTCTGGTATCCAGACTCTAGTTTTACAAAATTCTGCTTCAGCTTATAGTAAAGTTTGAATATAATGGTTGTTGCTTTTTGTTTTGTTTTGTGTTTTGCTTGTTGTTTTTACATGATAATATTTTGCTGCATTGCAACATGGGATTAGTTTATGAGACAATAGAAAAAACTATATGCACTACAATATTTTGCTTGCAGGTTTAATGTTTACACCTAAAGTTTGTTTAAGATTACAAGACACCATGCTGTGAAAAATAAAGCATCAAACTTGAGAGATAAGAGTTCTTGTAGCACCCTCCTTGCCAGACAAATACTTGCAGGGAAACTTGAAGAATTTAAAAAGTCTGTTATATCTAACTGACTATGACAAATGTTTTACCGTTTTAAACAAACATGTAAATATGCATCCATGTTATAATGATGTGTGATAATTTATTAGTCCTAAATAATTGCACTMTGAAACAGGTGAAACTGATATACCAGCTTAGCCCTCAATTAATTCAGCCAAATTTCACAATATCATTTCCATTTCTAGACACGTTTAAAGATAATGAATATTGTAATGAATAAACAGGTTTTTTATTTGAAAACTGTAAGTTTAAGATAGCTTGTTGGATCAGGCTTAAGGTTTTTGAAATTATCCATGTCATTGACCGATTAGATAAGTTGCTTAAGTTCGTTTCCTATGAAATACAATTAAACAGGAGAAATAGCTTCCTTTTTGTCACCATTCTCACCTGGCATTATAAACATCTGGATCTGAAAATGATTCAGCAAAAAATACGGCTTTCTCGTGTTCCACAGATATCACAGGAGGTTTGTATTCTTCAATTTCAGCTGGTTTCTTGACCGGTTTCTCCTGTCATGCAAAAAAAAACGAGGAAGCTGACTTCATATCTAACACGTATGCAATAATTTGCAGGACAATAGAGAAGAATAGAAGCTTACCTTTTCTTCTGGAGTGTCTGTTTCTGATTCCACTTCAACTTCTGGCTCATCAGATTCTGGCACAGCGTCTTCAGAACTGGAAGGAACGTCCTCTTTGTCGGCCATGCCAAACCAACTCAAATACACCAGAAATGACACCAACAATATGAACCGATGGACTTGCATATTTTACAAACTAACTTTCTCACAAGCTACTAGGCCAGTTGAAGCACAGATTAGAGGAAACTAGAGGGAAAGAGGGGCAGTTTACAGCAAATTTGGGAGGGAAATTAGAATGTTACTAGAAATTCAAATTAACGCGTGGAAGCAATTGAATGGTCCAGAGAACACATGGCCGGCTTCTCTGAGAGGACTGRGCAATACAAAACAACCAATGAGCGTATTTGTTATATGTCACATATCTATACTTATTCTTGGCCAATAGACGGCTTCGAACAATTTTCAATGATTGCTAGGAAAGGATGAAGTTTCTGGATAGAAGTATCCCGGTGTTTATAAATGTGTCACTCTTAGCTGATCTACGTTTAAGTAGAAGAAACGTCGAGAGCACATCACAGTAAAAAATGGTGAGGAAAAACCCAGACAAATCGGCTGGGTAGAAAATAACCCTGTCGTACCTCATTTTAATACCTGGAGAGAGAGAGGGAGGGTAGACTCCCTAATATAAAAGGGCGGGGGTCCTCGTCGTCCCTTTTGGGATTTGAAATCAGTGTTTTGGTCCCGCTTAGGGTGATAAAGACGAGAATTCCCACCAACTGAGTTTTGTGGTCCCTTTTAGGGTAATACGACTGATACGACGACCCTAAACAGTCATTATAAGTCGATCAACAACAGCTATAACTGATATTATATGATTGATCTCAATACGAGCCGACGGCGTTTGATGCTTGTTCAAAAACACAAATAAAATCATGAAACCAAACCAAAATGACCTGTTATTGATTGGTCCCTCTTAGGGGTGAAATTTCAGCAGTGCCACGCCGATCATCTCACAATACAGGTCCCTTTTAGGGGTCATTTTCAGACTTTCCGACGAGGACCCCCGCCCTTTWATWTTAAAYAGTCCCCCCTGGGCCTGATTATAAATAAAAGGCTTTATTTTTAACTATAGTRGTTATTACAGGAAGTTATGAGCGATTTCGAGGCATTTTTTTAGTGGGTCTTCGTTTTTGGGTCTACAGTTATTTCAAAAAAGGTTGTCGGAAACATAGTTGTTAACTATTACATGTAATTATGTCGGAAAAAATGGCGATGTAAAGAGCTATTCAAAATAGTTTTAACAGTTTAAAAAAATAGTCTATAAATCAGGCTATAGTGGCAGCTTTCTGCCCAATATTTATCAGGAGGGAGATTGGTAATGAGCCAAAAAATCAAAAACGTTAATTACTACCCCCCTCGCAAACGAAATTTTAATTTTAGACGTTGCCCCCTCTTTAACTGCTTTAAGCACATAAAATTAGATGTTACCCTCCCTCCTCTGGATTCTCAACCCTCCCCCCTCTCCTGATAAATATTGCGCAGTCCCTAATAACGGTACTCATGATTCACAGGTGCGTTATGTTCTTTAATTAAAAGTAGAAGTTGTGGCACCTACAAGAGTAGACCATTGTACAGGTAATTGAAAAGAGCAATAAAATATTTCAATATGTGTTATAGACAAAGTACAACCAAAGCGAACAAAAAAATTAGAGACTTACTTAGCAGGAATCGAAAATCATTGTATTAAATTGCAGCTTTTTGCCTTTGATTACTTTATAATTGTCTATTTTTTATAATTGCATGTCAGAATATTTAGCATGCAAATATACGTTTTCAGTTCCATGGTGTTGAATGTGTTCCAAATCAATAAAAAAGTAAATGTTGACGTAATCAGTATACAGGTGGAATTAGAATCGACAATTATACTCTCTGTTTCGGCAATAGATATGGAGTACAACGAGGGAATATATATA